TGACTATGTCTCTGATGACGAATCCGCGACGGATCTCGAAAGGTCAGGCGAATAAACGTATTGTCCTAGCGACCGAGTCGTCTTCTTCTCAATTTCAACCTTGTTCAGCTGGAAATAACAATTATGGTTAGGTTATGGCTTTCACAATACCTAAAACGATCGCTTATGTTGTGTGCAATCGAAAATGTGAGTCCGAGGAAGTAAAAGAGATGAAGTAAATGCAATCGTTGCCATAAGAACTTTATTCGTCTGTCGTTTCGGATACCTTCACTTACTCATTTTCAGAGACAGCAGCAGAAGCGGGGTACTTCGTGCGTGGAGATTTACGGTAGTCTATGCTACTGCATACCTATAAGAATTAATGGCTCCCTCTATCGAGGACAGTTGCCTGTACGCTTGTACGCTGATTGCTCGATGGCCTGTGTGCGGGTCGTGACCTGCTGAACTTTCACCACTCGTGCTAACTTTGGGTGTGATGATTGTCCGGCCATCTGACTCACGGCCACTGGCGTTGGAAGATGCGTTTGCCTTTGCACTCCCCGGGGGTGACAAATTGATCTAGCCAAAATGAGCCTTAGCACTGAATGTGGGTTGGGCAAGTCGTTGCACTTGTTTATGGGCTAGGCGCCCGTAAAGACATGACTCAAATAACTCGGGACTGTCACATGATTGTGACCTCTCGCGAGAATTTCGGCTTCATCGGATTTGAATGTGTGTTTGGATGTAGTCGGCGTATGCTCAGGCTGGAACTTTCCACAAACACTAGCGTGCCTCGCGAAGTGTTACTAACGAAGCGAGAGAGACTGGACCAATCACTTCTAGCCTACATCAGCATGTACTGACAGTCAGTTGGCTCTTTTCAGCGACATTAACCTGGGAAAAGTGCGACCAAAATGATGGCCCTACCGTCTCCAAAACCCCGGCTAAGCAGGTGCTTGGCTCATAGCCGGTCTTCCGTGGTTCCCGGATTCGACTGTGGACGCCTCACTTCACCGCCGGCGCGCCGGTTTATCGTTCCAAGACTGTACCAGACGATTAGGAATGAAGCCTCATGGGGCTGATGGACAATATAACCCATATAATTACAGTAGATTCCCTGTTGCATGAAACGTCGACCGAAATCCTGATATCAGCTTTCGATTCCAACAAATTACTTAGGTAGGGTTGTGTTACGACCCGCGCCTGGTACTATTAATTAGCAAGAACGGTGAGCTAGCCTAACTCGGCTCCTAAAGCCCGGTACGAGGGAAGACAGAGACCACGAGACAACGTGTATTAACCAGAGCGGCATTCTCAACAGGTTGTTAATACCGA